GCAAACATGCTTCTGCTAAAATGATCTATGCTACTGGGATAAAATATCTAATCTTATTAGCTTCCTCTGCACTATGTCCCTCTCCTTGGCCAATGGTTAAGCTGTATCATTTAAATCTGAGATTCTCATTTGTGTTCCTGCCTGATGTGAAAGTTGTGCCGTAGGGTTTGGGGTGAGAGCCCCTGCCACGTTAGCTGTGCCCAGACTCTCCCCCAGGGCCAGAGCCTGGGGAATGAGGCAGGACAAATGTTAACAATAATGAACCCTCAGCAGAAGAGATTTGTTTCTCCTCTCCACGCCAGGATTTGGCAAAGTGCTTGGGTGCATGTGGACCTTAAAAAACTTTGCTTCTTGAGGAGCCGTTTGACTCTAACGGGACTGAAATGCAGGGTTTGCTGCACAAGGACTCCCGCCAAGTTCAGCAGCTTTGAGAGCCGTAGACTGTGCGTGCCAGGACCCATATTTTGCTGCGCTGTTGGAGGGTTGGCAGGGCAAATCTACTCTGCTCAGCACTGAATCCTGGGACGTAGAAATCTTCTGCGGTGGTTGGATGAGAGCATGGAGCTGGGCTGTGAGGGTCTCATGCGAGGAAGAGAAATAAGTGACGAGGCCAGGCGGTGCATCCCTTTGCTGTGGGACTCCAGGAATCTCTCTCCCTTGCTCCTTTGCTGCCCTCGAAGGCTGCTCTTTCCGAGCAGCACTGACACTGCTGCTTGCCTCTAAGGCAACAAGAACATCTTAAATTTTGTGCGCAGCCCTGAATTACATCCCCAAAGTAAACTGAACCCGGCAGATCAAAACATGTGATAGTTTTCTGCTGGACGCTACAAGCTCTGAGAGGCTGTAGTATGTGTGTTTGTTGTGAAACGAGCCTCTCTGGTGATGATTATTTTTGTTACAGGCAGAGTTGGCTTCAGTTTCTGTGTTGAAGGTCCAACAATAACAGTGAGCCCTGCCCTCCTGGGGTGAGGGAAATCCAGAGAGGTTTAATCGGCAGGAAATTCAAGTAGGAGAAGGCTCTGCTCCCAGCCTAAGGTTTCAGCATGCGCTGATGAGCTGCAGAGCTGAAAAACCCCAAGTGGGGGTGGAGGTTCCTGGGGCCTGGCTGTTATTTTTGGGTCCCCTGAGTGATGATTGCTCGTTGGAGGCAGGGGGAGACTTCATCAGCCTGGATGTCTCCAGCAGGTCAGGGCAGGGAA